TTCAAGATCCTCAACATGTTTTATAGACAAAGACTTCATAAAAAAAACTAGAGGTATTATTAATCAAGAAAACTAAATCCGTACATATAAAAGACATAAATGATTGTTTGTTGTCTTCTAGAAGGATTACTTATGAGACTATTCCTTTAGATGCAATAATTAAAGATCATAATAGTTTAGTAATATTTAATGTGATAAGATCTTTCTTTAATCAGGTTATTTTAGGATTATGGTGGTTAGAAAAGTATAACCCTTAGATAGATTAGATTTCTTGTCATCTTAAATCATCTTATAGTTTGATTCAAAATTTCATTAATTAACTAGAAATACATAAGCTTAGTATATCTAAATTTTTATTAATAGGTACAAAAGTTTTTTTTACTATAGCAAAAAAAATATCTTCTTTTGCTATAAATTCTATGCCCATTTTTAATGATAAAAAGATATTAAGTGGTATTCCTATCCAATATCAAGTTTTTTGAGATATTTTTTAAAAGAAAAATATAGATATTCTTTTAGAGCGTTGATTTTATGATTGTTCAATTGATTCACAAGAATGAGCTCAACTACTATTTGGAACAATCTATAACTTATCACAAAATGAATTGGTTGCATTAAAGGAGAAATTTGATAAGAAATTGGATAAAAACTTCATATAGTATTCAAAATCTCCAATAAGAGCTCCTATCTTATTTGTGAAGAAAAATGATGGATTTCTACAAATGTGCATAGACTATCAAAGACTTAATAAGAATACCATCAAGAATAGGTATCTCCTATATTTGATTTTAAGACTTCTTGATTAATCTAATCAAACAAAGATCTACACAAAAATAGATCTACGAGGATCATACAACTTGGTCTACATCACAAAAAGAAATGAGTAAAAGAGTGTTTCCAGAACTAGATATAGATATTTTGAATATAATGTTATACCTTTTGAACTCATAAATTCACCAATTACTTTTCAACTTCTCATAAATGATATTTATTGTGAATTTTTTGATGATTTTCTTATTTATTATTTAGATGACATTCTAATCTATTTTAAGAATACAAAAAAATATAAACTTCATGTTTGTCATGGATTACAAAATATTAGAGATGCAAAATTATATGCCAAGATGAAAAAGTATATATTCCACACTATTCAAGTTAACTTTTTAGGATACATCATTTCTAATAAATGACTAATGATAGATCCTAAAAATATCTAGACTATCATAGATTAGAAGATTCTAAAAATATTCAAAGATGTATAATATTTTTAAATATTTATCAATTATTACAAGATCTTTATTAATTTTTTTTTAGTTAGAGTTCTTTTTACATGTCTGATATATAAAGATAAATTTGAGTAGAGCAATGAAGCTGAATCATCTTTTGAAGCCTTGAAGACATCATTTATTTTTGCATCAATTTTGTATTGAGTTGATTTTTTCAACGCATTCTTCATAAAAACAAATACATCATATTTTACTATAAATATCATTTTGTCACAAATAGGAATAGATAACAAGTTCTACCTAATAGCTTTTCATTCCAAAAATATTTTAGGAGCCAAAATTAACTATAAAATCCATGACAAAGAGCTTCTTGAAATTATAGATTCATTTCAAGAATGATGTCATTATTTAAAACGCTCTTCTAATCTAGTCACCATATACATGGATCACAAGAACTTCGAGTACTTTATATTGGCATGTATTTTGAATTGTTGCTAAGCTCGTGAGATCATGTCTTTATCAAGATTTAATTTCAAGATCACTTATTGATCCAAAAAACAATAAGGTTTGCCAAACGCTCTTTTTAAACGTTTTTATTTTATACAAAAAGAAAAAAAATACATCTTTGGATCAATAAAGAATAATTTCTTGAAGTCAAAGCATTTTCATCTTCAAGCAATAAAATCAACATTGATTGTTGATTCAACCTTTTTTAAGTAAATTCAATCAAGTATGTTCTTTGGTCTTTTTATTCATGATATTATGAATAATTCTTTTAACTCTTATGATAATTCTAAGTTCAAGTTCAAGAATAATCTACTTTATTTCAAGAGATGATTATATATTCTAGAAGATAAAATATGATTATGTATTCTTCAAAATCGTCATGATTTTTTAGCAATCAAATATTTTGGATACAACAAAACTTTGGAGCTAATATCAAGAGATTTTTGGTAGCCTCAAATGTAGAAGGCACTTAAAGATTTTGTACAATGATGTGATATTTGTTCAAGATCATAAATTCTTTATCATTAATTTTATAGATTTTTTCAGCCATTACCTATTTTGGAACAACCATGGTCCTTTATTATTATGGATTTTATCATAGATCTTCCAATCTTTGCTTTATATGATTTTATATTCATGATAGCAGATTATTTTACTATAATGGCACATTTTGTTCCATATATAAAATTTAACATAAGTAAAGAAACGATTAGATTTTTTCTTAACAATATTTATCACTACCATGGATTATTAAAGATATTATATTGAATATAGAGACTTAATTTGTATTTAGATTTTAAAGAATCATTTCTAAGATTTTGAAGGTAGATATAAAGCTCTCTTTGGCTTTTCATCCTTAAATTGATGAGCAAACAAAACGGATGAATCAAATTCTAGAGTAGTATTTGAGATGTACTATCAACTATCATCAAGATGATTGGACAATTTTTTTGTCATTTGTAGAAATTTTATACAATAATTTGATATATTTTTTTACTCAACAAATACCTTTCTTTATCAATTATGGTTATCATCTATAACTTAATACTTATGACTTTTCAAAAGTTAATAATTCTATGGTAAAATATTTGGCAAATTATTTATCAAAGCTATATGCAACAATGAAGGCATAGTTAAAGGAAGCTCAAAAATGACAAAAGATTAATGTGAATGCTTATTACTAAGAACAATCACAATTTAATGTTGGTGACAAGGTATGGTTATTTTTCTGTAATATCAAGACTACTTGTCTTTGTGACAAATTAGACTACCATAGGCTTAAATCTTTTTTTATTTGTGAAATAAATCAATTGTATTGCTTATTGATTATATCTATCGGAGTCTATGAAAATCTATCTTGTATTCTATGTATCTCTTTTTGAGCCATATAAGAGAGTGAATATGTTGGAAAGAAGATAAATGCCACCTCCTCCTATAGAAGTGGATAATAATCAAGAATTCAAGATGGAAGAAGTCTTGGATTTAAAAGGGTTTTAAAATAATTTAAAATATTTTGTTCATTGACATGGATATGATATTAGTTAATACACATGAGAATTAGCAAAGAATCTTGCAAATGCAAGAAAGATGATTGAGGCTTTTTATTGACAACATCTATCTAAATCAAGATAAATAATTGCAAGATCTATGAAAGATGATGATCGGTTTTTGTAAAACTTGTTTCTAGAAGGAGGAGTTATGTCACGAACATACACATTTACTCCAATAATTATTTATATGATTAGGTAGAAGTAGATAAATATGGATAAGTTTCATAATATCTTCTAAAAAAGCTTCCTAGAAACTTCATAGACAAGGTTTTGACTTTATACATGTTTATAGTTGATTAGTAGGTTAAAAACTTGGTCAACAAATTAACTGCATATCACATATGTTGGTAGGTTATAGAACAAGCTAAATATGTGGCATATATATAGATAACTTGCATTACAAGTTAAGACATGTGTCTAGCAAAGTCAACATGTATTAAAATTCCTATAGAATATCACTACATAACTCTTAGTTAGAGAGTACATATGGAGGCAAGAGTAAAACTCTTGTCAACATCTTTCTAGTTCTTAATCTTATTTTAAGACTTTCTAGTCTTCTTATCTTTGGCAACAGCCATTCTAATTCAATATATTGCCATCTTTAAGTGATTTCTTAGTCTTTTTGAAGGACACAAGAGTGTATTGAGGATTTTTTTTTTTTTTTTTTAAAGATTTATATCCTTGATATTTCATTTGTACTATGATAACTAGATCCAATAGAACTTTAAGACAAGATTTTAAGAAGTAAATATACATAATAAATCTAAAAGATCTTCTATGGAAACTTTCAAAAGTTAATATTAGGTTTTAGATGATCATAGAATGATACATCAATTTTTGAAAGCTTATTGAAGATTTATGTATATTTATTCTTATGTATAAATTATACATAAGAATAAATAAGTTGTAGAATCTTATTAAAGATTTAATATTAACTAAGAAGTTTCTAAAGTTCCACAAAATAAGTTGCATATATCTAAAAGAATATGGAAGGTTCTAAAAATTTGTAAAAGATGTTTGAATTTAATGTATGTCATTAATAAATATTTAAGAGCTTTCATATTTGCTTATATTTAATAAAAGACTTCTATTACTACACCTTAAATAATATATATTTTGAGCTACAAGTATCTTATAATGTCTTGGTTCATGAATAGTTTTAAACAAAATATAATGCATGTTTATAAAAACTTCTTATATTTTTATTTTTAAAAGAATCATAATCAAATAAAAGATATCATAATACTATTTTACATAATATGATCTTTTTATATTAACATTTTGACCATCTTCAAATAGTAGCATATTTTTTAACAACTACTCCATATGGAATTTCAGCACTAATTTAAACACGTACAACAATCACAAGTGCTTATATCAAATGTTGGAGCTATAGAACTCAATAAAAAAAAGCACTTGTATCTATGATAATATCTATTCAAAAATTGATTGAAATACACTAAACTTGTGATTGTAAAGTATTAAGAAAACTAACATTTTATCACAAGACAGGAATACAAATTTCCATACAATAATTTTTAAGGATAAATTAAAATGATTAATTTGATATTATATCTCTGTATTCACAACAAAACTAACAATATTAAAGTATTGCAATAATAGTAAAATGATTGCAGGTTTCAATTTGGTGAACTAAATTGATCATCATTATTGCACAAATTTGGTTGCGAGAAGCTCCTTGACAACGTTTCGGCCTTCCCTGAAGTTGTAGTCCGACGTGGCAAATGGTGTGATGAGCTGGAACGACACGTCAGACCGCTTAATCAGCAACATTAGGGCAAATCACTGGAGCGGCCGGGTCCGTACCTTTTGCTTCATATGCTTCTCCGCCTCGTGCACATCCCCCTCTCTATCTCTCTTTGTCTCCTGCTTCTTGTCTTGCGGCTGTGCTTCAAGGATTCGTCTGTGAATCATGAGGGCCAAGGTATCTGACTACTTCTCCTTCTTGTGTTACAGTACCGTTCACGTAGAGATGCGTCGTCCTACGTCTGGTGAGGTTTGTGAGTGGGATGACACAATGGTGACGAGATGGAAAGTGGATATGGTTTTGTCAGGTGTTAGTAATCCGGTGAAGTTGCCCATGCGCTTTGATGTGTTGTTGAGGTTTTGGTGCAGATCGTCTGTGCATTACAAGAGATTATTTGATGCTGCAGAATTAAGCACTGGTAGCGTTGGACATGAATTAGAATTGGTAGAGTTTCAAGCGATCTAAGTCGAGGTTTGCTCTGGATTTTCTGTTCATCAGTCTATGCGGTATCATGCTAACCTTTTCCCTTGCTTCCTTTGGCAATAGTGGAAGAAGAAACGTATGAGGCGCCTGAAACGTAAGCGCCGAAAGATGAGGCAGAGATCCAAGTAGGCGTATGGTTGTCTGGCTACTGTGCTAGAGGCAGGAAATCATTAATTATCGGTGCCAGTCGGGCGGATTGGCTAGATTTTCTAGAGCTTAGAGATTGTGAATCTTGGCACGGTTCTTTCGAAGACAGCTGTAGCAATGGGTTATAGCTCTGCAAGCTTGAGCACTGTCCATGCGGATAGCTACATCTTGTAATCGAATGTGAATTTCGTCTATTTTGAGAGGATATCTGTTTGCGTCAACAAAATTGTATTTTTGATTTTCTGTTTACAGTGCGCGCTACGTTAGATGAGGAGTGCTATTTATATTTTCAGGTCATGTATACGTCGTTATTACATATAAACTGAGGCAATCGCGATGAAGGGTCATGCTCTGCAACGCAAACATGCGACAACCGTTCCTACTTAGTGAAGTTAGCTATTTCAACTCTGATAACAAATGCCAATCATCTATGTTGCCAGAGTACCCGACCGTTCGATCGGCAAATATTCTGTTCCATAGAGACTCTAATCCTGTAGAACAGAAGCATAGGTTAACATAATTGTACCCCACTCCCGTCGAACACAAAATCGTAGACACATAACTAGGCAGAACGTCTAATCTGAAGAAAAATCAAATTTTCATGCGTCTTTAATAAAAGATGAAAGCTGCTACTAACAATAGAACCCCACGATGGTATAGTAAATCATACGCGGCCACTTCTACCGATTTCTGCTGCATTTCCAACTATCATATCCGTTGTACAAATTCACTTCAAAAGATTCCAATCGCAAGTAGCTATTTCATCCCTGATCTTAGTAATCTCCCAAACTGTTTGACAAACCTTGGGTCACAAAAATGAATTCTTAGCATTGTGACAGATATCTCGCAGAGTTCATAATTGAATCTATGGAGAGCAACACATTTTCTGTGACAAAAATGAAGCTATGATGATCGTTCAAGTGTCGGTCTTCACAAAAGCAGATTCTGCAAGATCAATTGCACGAGCAAGCCCAGCAGCCTTGTTCACCGTCTCCTGGTACTCGCTCTCGGGATCACTATCCGCGACTATTCCAGCACCAGCCTGTGAACAAGATCATGCTTAAAATCATGAGAAGATCGATAACCGGGTTTCAAACCAAGTCAAATACTTGTTAAATCAGGATCATTTAGGATTGCAAAGAAGAGATCAGACCTGTAGGTGAACAACCCATTCTCTGCGGCTGTTCGCCTGTTTGTACGAATACATAGCGTCGTTTCTTTGCGTCGGGAACACCATTGTACGTAGAGCTAATGCAATGTCCATCTGCCCAGTGAAAGACACGCCGCCAATGCCACCACTGTAAGGGCCTCTTCTAGTTGGCTCTAACTCGTCAATCAGCTCCATCGCCCTCACCTGTCACCATGTGTGAAGTCAGTTTGGGAATTTTTCCCTTCTTTCCAGTTCTTTGGACTGAAAAGACTCAGGAAATGTGCCTAGAAATTGCAAGATCTGTGTTACAAGGAGGGATTAGTTACGATCATTTGAATCAGAATTTCGCGACAAGAATTTCTCAAAACTTTGTCATGACTCATGTGAGCCCAAATACCAGTTACACAGAATCCATGATAGCAGAGGGTAGAAAGGACGGTAACCTTGGGAGCTCCGCTGACAGTGCCGACTGGCAATGCTGCCCGTAGTGCATCCCAACTAGAAAGCTCGTCTAATAGCTCTCCTGTCACCTGTGTCCTCAAAACATGAATATTGAAATCCAGTAGAAAAATGTGTATGTTTCTATAATAAAGAAATTTAACATTAAACAAACCTAATGTGAATTAGGATTCTTTGGTCAAAACAAGGACGAGAAGGGAAGTGCATTCAACATTCTCTGTTCAAAGGTCTTTGTACCATCAAGATTAACTATAATGTGGGGGGGGGGGGGATCAGTACCGTGGAGCTGATGTGCATCACATGTGAATACCGCTCCACCTCCATCAATTTTTCAACCTTCACCGTGCCTGCCTTGGAAACCTGCACACTCAACATCCAGGACCATAATACATCGCGGTCCGAGCAACTTCTGAGATTTGACCCAGTACCGACCGTGGCATTTAACCCAAAAGCATTCCCTAGTTTTGAATAGCGAACATCTTCCTAAGCATAACGTCTTCGCTACAAATTAGTCAACTGCAATGAAATGAAGTGGCAAGTGCAGAGCAAGTCATACCATTTTCTTCGTCTGTATATACTAAGCTAGGTGTAGACAGCAACAGGTCTCATCGACTTGAACTAGATCATGGAAAGAAACTTGAAAGGGATGATGCTTCACCTTTCCAACATCATTGCGACCTAGATCCACAAGCATGACGTGCTCCGCACATTCCTTCTCGTCTGCTAATAAATCTCTCTCCAGAGCCATGTCTTCCTCTGGCGTCTTCCCTCGCCTGCGTGTTCCTGCTAGTGGCCTGTTCACCACAGTCCCCTGCTTTGCAGAACAGTCAGGTAAGAAATACACATTAACGTCTGAAGGAATAAGAAACAGACAACACGTATGTGGGTCAGAAAATGAAAGACAAGAACCACTACAAAAGGTAGCAAAAATCCGTAAAAGAAGCTTGAATACTTTGTGATAAGCCAAATGTGTATAATTCACATGTGTGTGTTACCTCAGCAATACGGGTAAGTATCTCTGGACTAGACGCCACCATTATGGCACCCCGCGCCTGCATTCAAGAACATTTCCAATCAAGTCGATAACGCAACCGGACTTGAAAGAAGGGAGTTAGAAGACGTGACCGAAAGCTTCAAAGCAGAAACAATTCAGAGAATTTTTTAAAATGGTCGAATAAACCATATCTATGCTTCTCTTGAGCAACTGCAACAGCTGTAATCATATCGACATTTTCTACAGTAATCTTTACTACACTTAATTCGCGCTATGTTTCAAGAACGTTCAGAGGAAGGTGACACACCTGAAGGTAGATCATGTATGGACTAGGATTTACGATACGCAGAGCCCTGTAAACCTCAAAAGGGTCTGCAAATGTTCGTCTCTCAAACCTCTGGCTGAGGACCAGTTGGAAAATGTCACCTGCCAATATGTGCTCCTTCACTAGCGAAATAGAATTCTTAAATTGCTCGGGAGTATAATTTGATTTAGCTGTTCTCTGGCCATATTGTTCAATGGACAATTCCACCGATCCACTTGAAAGTTTGACCCTTAAAACAAAACCGAAGGCGAGTATGTCAGGACTTGAAAACGTTGCAGTAAACAGGCTTCCAGAGCTGGAAAATCCATCTAAATCAAAGAGAAAAAATACCATACAGCAGGAAATTCGATTTGTTAATTAAAACTAAAGATCTAGAATATTTACGTAGAGGACCAAAGCTGGTACCTTCCAGGGGTTTGTAGGCGAGCCACCAAAAGATCAAGTCTTTTACACCCGTCCTCATAAGCGGACTCAGGGTTATCGAACCGGTCCACATGAACCCAATGTAATACATACACTAACTGTGGCAACCACATTCAGGCCAATCTTATTTATAAGGCTTATTTATTGTGTGCACAAGCATTGGCATAAAAGAGCCACACACACACACAAAAGGCTATATATATATTTATATGAAAGTGAAGAGGTTGGTAATTTGTTACGGGAACTTTAATAACAAATACTATACATACTATTCTGATATAGCACTAGGAACATCTCAGTATACCTGTTTGTGCAAGAAAAAACGATAACTCAAGATGTGAAAAGTATACGGAACAGAATAATACCTTAGTCACATGATCAAAAACCAGTACATCGTTGTAAAGCCCTAGGTGGATGTCAGGTAAACCTCGGTCATCTATAGGTGCTGAAGAAAAGGGCAACTTCTTTTTCTCCACATACCTCACAGTGTCATATGAAAAGTACCCAACCCATCCTCCTGCAACCATGCTCGAAGATATCAACTAAAAATTTCAGCTCATGCTTAGGAATGTGCAAATGTTATATAGGAGATGTTACGACTCAGCGTTTATGTAATCATCACAATGTGAATGCGTGTAGTCTCAGTGCTTCTCTATGATGACTCAGTGGGTTAATTATACTCAAAAAAGGAAAAAAGAATATGATTTGATTGAAGGGTTTATCTTATATATACATAATTACATGGTAAATCATCGAAAGAAGCTCTATCAGAGCGTGATCTCGTCAGTGTTGAACCATACCACAGAAAACATCCGGAAGACTGTCGAACTTCACTGGGTTCCACTTTGATGCAATTTCTTGAGGCTCGTTCAGGGGATTGTCAGATTGTTTCTCTACACGGGTACCTTCCTCGTGATTCAATATGGTGATGCGATCCTCTTTCGCGATGATCTCCATTGAGGGCTGAGCTCCGACCATACTATATCTCCCCTGTCAGCAAACGACTCTAACTTCAGAATATCTCTTCATTAAAGGAACACACCTCTTCGTCTTCGTCTTGTTCATGCATCAATTACTTTTCAATGTCGCTGCAACATCTATAGGATTACAAAATTCCTCCTCAAAACCATAACCGAACGCTTCGTAAGAATAGCTTTTTTAAGAAGGTAGTGCATTGTACTGTACATTATGATTCCCAGGCGCTCTATGGTTTATTCACTTCAGAGAGGCGAAAGACAAGAATGAGAGCTTCTTAAAAACAAATTTTTAAAATAAAAAAATTATGGGTGCAACGAAGCCATAAGTCCCAAGCAAAAAAAATCGCAGGCTATGGGAGTGCGCAACGAATGATCACATTCGAAGGCTTACAGAAAACTCCAACGTAGCAAGTATTCTCAAGACATTATCCATCCAGACATCACAGTAGAACTATATGACAACATGAGAACTCACCATATTGATGCTTTTTCCATTTTCAACGGACTCAAAGAGAAAGGACGGAGCTTCTCTGTCATCCTCTTTCACTAAGCACCGGTACGCCAATACTGGTGTGAGATGATCAGCGAATATGCGCCGATACACCGGCACCAGGTTTCCTCGTTGCGCAGCCTCCAGAAATTGAGATCGTCCTAAAATACGTTTAAAAGGTAAATATATCATCTACCTCCTGGAAGTGTGACTCGAAAACGACACTCCGGAAGTTTATAACATTTCCACATACTGCAAAGCATTCCTTATGCTATCGTCTGAAATCAGACTTCGCAGCTCTTAAACCCTAAACCCTGAATAATGAACTCTAGGCAGAATATGAACATTACCTGGGGTAGACTCTTGGTCTTCAATAGCTGTTGCATTCACCGCTGTCTTCGCAGCTTGGCATGAAATAACAGGTCGAAAAGATTTCCGAGCATAATCACCAATCTGAATAAAAGAACACTTCAGAAACCAACCCAAATCTTACAAACTTGAGCATTTGAAACAATTCTCATGGTACACCATAAGTTAATCCTGAAGCCTCAGAGTAGATCAAACCAATCTGTCGTAATATTGGATCTAAGTTCGATTGCAAAAGAGAAAGGCGCGATAATATTTTCTGCGTTTCATGATCTCAATAAATTTCAATAACTGCGCGAGTTTTGAGTAGCATCTCCTCCAACGTGGGCAATGGTCACTTCACAAAAATCTTTAATGAAAACTCCCTGGAACTGTTAACAGAAAAACCAAATTTCCACACTTTCGAAGGAAAAACCCTCGAGGAACTGTTAACGAGATTGCAGTAAGATAAGCATGCGCACAGAGTCAAGGACTCACAGAAGCTCCATTTACAAACTGCTTCAAATGCCTGTTCTTCTTTGTTTTGAAAAGCACGCATTCCTTGGCACCGCTCCTGTGTTGTCTCTCTGCCGCTACAGATGTCCCGATACCGACGCCACTACAACACACAGCGCCACGACCGACAAGACACTCCATCGCCACCTTTCCTCAACTCTCACTAGACAATGAACAAGGAATCACAGAGTCTGACCATGCAGCAGCTGCAATTCGCACTCTCTCGAACCCTGGCACCACCTCATAGGCATTCCAGGAGATGTGCAACCATCACAGAAGGGACCCACAAACCAAAATTGGATATCCTGGCAAACGGAGCTTTGACAGTTCATAAACGCATGGAAAAAGAGCAGAGGGTAGAATTCAGACTGATGAAGCAGACAGACAATGCTGCAAATTGATGACTAAGGATGAGATGGAGATGGCAAAAATAATCTCTTCCGAAAAATCGGTGTGAATTAGTGTTTCCAGAAATCATAGTAAACTCTGAAATTGACTGAAAATTCATAGGATTGCAAATAGTTGCAACATGTCTGTGAGGAAAACATCCACTATCTATTTGGCGAGGAAGTGCAACACAGCTTGTCATTAACGAGGGATAGTTCATCTGCAAGAATGCATCCCAAGATATGAACAGAAAATAAAGCAAGGTCTTCTCCATCGTTCTCTTATCACTCGCTTCAGACTTGGTGAGACAGTGAAGACTTTTGAGACTTCAGCGGACATGGAGATGGGGACCGTCGGATTTTGCACTTCAGCTGAAAGGACCGCAACTGTTGCAGGTTTTTGCACCCCTCCGTCTCCTCGTGCTTCGTATTTTTCCCTTCCCACACGAAGCTTTCGTTTCCAAGGCATACACTCAAACCTCCAGCAACAACAATCTGACTGTAATGTGCGAGGTTTTGATTCAAATTGCACTACCACAGCAGCTGTTTCTTGAATGTGGTCTCAGCGTTTGCAGCAGGAAATGCCCAAGTTATGGAAAACGAAGTGCATTATGGTCCTGCTGGACTGTACATTTCTGGTGGGGTTCTTTGCGGTTCTTTGTTGTGAGATTGGATACACTATCTTACTCTTTCTTTCTTTAATCTAGAAGCTTGAATTTCTGTAGCATAATTTGACCATCCGCATCTTGTGTTGGAGATTCGATAATGGTTTAAAAGATTTTTCAAGTTGCTCTTGGGTAGTTTTTTCACTCGCTTCAGTAAGAAATTATTGTCCTCCATGCGCTGAATTTCCTAGAACCAGGAAATTTTAGTTGGATGGTTTCTGCATGTGCGACAGAGGTCTCAGGACCAATGTGAATGGTCGTCTGGAAGCTCTTCTATATATCTGCACTTCTTGATTCACATTGGATTATTTCAGCGGTCATTTGTCGCAGTTGAAGTTCGTTATTGTTGTAAGTTTTCGTACATCAACTGTCGACAGTTTACAATAACCTACGAAAGATGGCACTGCAATCTTAGTGAGTTTTGCAAGTAATAGTCTGTGCTCTCTCTGCGAGCTAGTCTTGCTGGAGCTATTGTTTACAGTACAATGGAGTATGTAGGCTAGGTCATTATCAACTATTTCATAGTTGCCAATGTGAAGAGGTCTATTATTTGAGCCTAGCTTCAAAAGATTGAGTGAGAAGCAGTTGATGCTATTTAGTCTGGATTTTGTAATCTGGTACACTTTATTTTGAATCGTGACGTTGATTTGAGCTGAGAGAAGTCCTTCGATTTCAGTGGAGTGGGTGAGCCACAAGGTACACATAGATCCTGTGAAGTTAGATTTTCAGACGCCCAGATTGTTATGCTAGTGAAGCAGTAAGCGCTTTAGTGACGTTTTTTCTTAGTGGAATTTAAAAGTGAGACGTACAAGAACATATTCTTGGATATGATTGCCGTGGGTAGTTCACAAAAATTGTTGGGGACAGACTACCAAGTGACCATTATTCCTATAGATTTAATCCTGAGCTCACTTACTCATGGGTCTCAAATCAAGTCAAGGATGGCTTAGCTTGAAATCAAGAATCTGGGAGGACTGACAAAGAATGTAGCAGTAAAATGAAAGATTTTGTCATTTGCAGTAGATGGAGCTGTTCAATACTGAAAAAGAGTACGTATATGTTTTATGTTGGGTATTCATAATTGAGGGACGGGATGCATGTGTCTCACATCGTAGGTACGATGTCGACAATGCAGTACAGTGAGACATATCAAGGTGGAGTCCTTGTTTCTGTGTTGTCGATAGCGACCCAAAAGAAAAACAAGAAAAAGATATATGCATTGATGTTTCAGCCCATGAAAGCGTTCAGTATTGCTGTTGCATAGTACATATGGAGAAGGACGATTTTACCCGTCCAAAATCTGACTTTTTAATAGTCTTTCATTTTTCGGTGCCAAAACAAATTATTCTCTCTTCGTGTTCATTCTACCTACGCCGACTTATACAAGAACATCAGAAGAACCTGCACTCCTGTTCTCGAATGATATGTTAACTGGATTTTGAGGTTCTATCATGTTTCTTTCTTTGCCCCTTCGTATGATTTCCATCTTGTTAGTAGCATTACACTTCGCTATTGTTTATAAACTCAGAAGTTCTATCTGGTCGGTAATATGCTTGCTACAACAGCCACTTGTGTCATGACATGGAAGACTTAATTGTATTGAAAGTATCTGAAGATATCCTTCGCTGCTTAACGTCACGGTGAGAAAGGGGTACTGAAACTGTGGTTCATCATGTATATTTATCTGGCCATATGCTCGCTGCATTTTGTTTCAGAGTAATCAGTGATACAAGAGAGGGAAAATGGCTATCAATAATCTTTTGCCTTAATCACCAGCTCTGAGGCCGAGGAATCGCAAAAAGTTTGTTTTATTTGATGATCTTAACTGGTATTATTTCTTACTCTAGTCTCTCTTGGAAATTGCTTTCCTTCGATTCTCTCTTGAAATTTGTCATCCCTCCAGGTATTCAATGTTTTAATCCAACTATTGTGACCACCTCAACCGGCCTTGGTTTTGGGGCTTATGGTCAAAGATCAATGTTATATTTTTGATTTTCGCCATCTCCAGAATACCTACAGTGTGGCTGAAGATCATGATACTGTCGAGTATGGCTCATTCATGTTGATAGATGATGGTCTGTAGCAAAATGTCTGCTGAGAGTGTCAGCCACCAATACCATCAGAATAGCTAGTGACTTGGTAAAACACGGAACGGTGAAGAGTGTTGCCCTAATGTACGAACACTGATATGTAATTGAATTGGGAGGTTGAGTTTGAGTTTTGTTTAACAGGGTATCAGTTTCCCACACAATTGACAGTAGAACACCCAATCACCTTTCGAGATTGGGAATTCAGAGTGCAAATTATTCAAGTCGCAGAGCACAAGGTAACTTCGTATCTACGACTGTCAATCCATTCCATCCTTTGTTTATGGATCAAATTACCGAAGTGTTCTTCTGAGGTTGCAACCACATGAGTAGAGCTGCTTGCGCCTGCTGTGAGACCTTGTTTGTTGTAATGTAGTGAACCAATCTCAGAAAAGGCTCTGAGGTGATGACGCTCGTGCCCGCTTACGTGAGATTATATCATGACTGCAAATGTGGTGGTTTTGCAGAAGCTCAGAATCTGGATTGAGAAAGATAGAATCAAAAGGCCGTCTTGCAGACATGACAGGCTACGAATCTCCGGAAAGGAAACTTGATTATGAGAATTTTCTCTTTAGTCATGAACAGCTTCCAAGTTCATATGATGTTACGGGTGGACCCAAAGATCAAGAGAGAGCTTTTTACGGGACTGTCGAAGCGTGCAATAATGAAAGAGTAATGCATGGTATGTCGCCAGATCCGCAAATTGGATCCAACAAAGGCAGCAGTGGCGAAACAAATTACCTTACAGTTCGAAGACGGCAACCATCGGGACGATATCCGATGCGATCTTCTGCTCAAGTGGGTTTGAGGAATGAGGACTTCCGACAAGAGAGTGAAAATGCTTGTTCAGAGAGATCCAGAAGTCTTGATAGAGCGAGTAGTTTCTGTCTAGCAACTGAGAGCAAAAATGAAGATAACGAACCGTTAGGTGCTGCAAGCAAAAAGATCATGGGATTCGATGGAAACGACCAAGTAACGGACGAGCCACTCCTTGAAAAATTGACCAATACAAGAGACACTTCTAGAGAAGATTGCTCTGGTCCCTCACTGTCTTTAGACGACAAGAAGTATGTCTCATCAATGGACATTTCAGAAGTAGAACATTCAAGTCTTTCGTCAAGCGTGAATGGTAGGAAGTTCGCGATAACAACAATTGAAGTTCCAAATTCCAACCCTGAGAATCAGCTGAAGGAAATGACTACCCAACAGAAAAAAAGAATTTTGCTCAACTCAAGTAGCGACAGATATTGTTCTGACGTGAATCCAGTGAAGAAAAGTCATCTTTACGGGAGTCCAGAACGGTGTGGGCTTTCGGTGATGCAAATTCTAGATCCTAGAGAAGAAGAACAGAGATCGAATGTTCACTCGAGTGGACTTCCAAGAAGCACATCAAATAGGGACTCAATTGGCGGAGAGAGCACATTGTATAGATCTGCGAGCATTTGGATTCCTGTAGGGGTCCAAATTGATGGAAAGAGAAAATCTTGTGATGGTGGAAGCTATGAGATCAATGAAAGGGATGAAAGCAACCGGAATTCGTTTGGAAATGTCGAGGAGGAAGGCAATGAACATATCTTTGCGATTTGTGTTGCATGATTTCATGTACTTCCAGTGATTGTTTATGACCTTACAAATCGTAAAACTCAAAATGAAGCTGCTGTGGGTGTATTAACAAAATTACTTTACATTGTGCTAGTTATTGACTAGCCACTAAAGAATCAGAGCTTTGATTCAGACCACAAGCTTTCATATGCTCAAACTGGGAAGGAGTCACAGAGGCCTAGTCAGGTGAATGTAGATTATGTTCAGCCTTCTTTGGCATCAGAATCTAGATTTCTGAACGATCCCAATAAAGTAAGTGACTTTTCCTACATTTTTCATTTCATTACTTTACTCTCTTAGTGAAGACGCATTCTCTCTATCAAGTTTGGTAACTGTGGCAGTTGTAGATGTACACGGAAAATGGCAGTTTTTTCCCCCTATACCTCCTAACGTCCATTGGCACAGATCAACGAAGCGGCGTATTACGATTACGACAACAAAGACGCCCAGTCCTCAATAGCATACGAACTTGTGGAACTCCCCTCACCAACTGTAAATGTTGAGCTGAAGAGAAAGGCAGACGTTGCTTTCCCTTTGTGCTATACTTTCGATCTTGGTTTACATTATCCTATAGACACTGCAGTTCATGGAAGGACCAGTTGTGTGATTACATCTTACGGATCTAACTTTCATCTTTTGCTTTTCATTTCACAGAATGTGCATAAGTCAAAACGGAGTTGAAGTTTATTCGTCCTTTAGCCAATGAAGTTCTTGTCCTGCATTTCCTGACAGTAATTGTCACACTCCTATCCATTGTGTATTTTTCTAACAAAAATCCGAGGTAAATCCTTCATAACGTCACCGGTGAAGTACATCCGTTGAGCCCAAATGAGTTAGGAAAATAACTTCCGTCAGCCGAACTTTGTTGTATAGGAACAATGCCCAGTGAGAGTGGGTGTTTTTACTGCTGCTGAACGTTTTAATTTGGATCTGAAAGCATGAGAGTTTTGCTAGTTGAGTGCAGGTTGAGGAGCTGGAAAGACTTGTGGCAGACGAACGGAAGAAGTTTCAAGTGGTCACAGAGCGATTGGCGGAACAGCAGATTGAGGCTGAGAAGAATTCGCTGCAGATGCAGGACGATTGGGAGGGGAGGATCCGTGAACTCCAGAAGGAGAAATATTCTGGGTCCATACGCCTTCAGGTTTGCTTATACCATCTGTGGTATGGAATTAGTACTTCAAAACGTGCTGTGTGTTGAGTTCCAACTGGTGCTAGTGCTTCTCCGCTAGCATCTTCTTACGAAGTAAACCTGTGTTATAGAGTTTCTACAAAATTCCCAGAGTGCAAGATTCCTCCGTATTAAAAGCTAATAAACGAAACAGTGAGAATGCATAATAACATGGTTCCATGTTTTATTAGTCTATATACCAGTAATACTTGCTTTCGCTAGACATAGTGGTCAATATTAGCACGTCCCTGCAGAATAATATTTGGCTGCATTGGCCCTGATCTTCTCTACGTAGTTTATAGCTAGCAAAGATAAGTTCGACTTTCAAATCATTAACCTACCTGGCAACCTTGCTGGTCCTGGTTGACGTAATTGACTGGATTTGTTTCTTGTTAATTTATCTTTGGTCGTTATCCTAATTACTTAGGGCAGTCGACAGAGACTGCGCACCTGGCATCCCTCTTACCATGGAGAGAATCACAAGCACAACCTACTCAGAGTATATTGCAAACAGCTCAGAAAGTGAAGCAACCTGCAAATGGTAGTGCACCTCAACGTCGTGTTTCTATCCATCGCTACCATGAAGATTTTCTGAAGGTAAGTTGCTTACTTTTTCCCTGCACCTGAATAGTTCGTGCTAAATTTCTGGTCACCCTCTTTGCTAGTGCTATGATGCAAACCATGGAATTCGAATTTTTGGAGATTTATGTTCCATGTCTGCCTATTTCTTAATTACGTTATTGAATCTGTTTGAATATGGACTTGTCTACACAATTATTACTCTTTTCATGCAAACAGGAGTTGGAGGCCGACCAGGCTAGGGAGAACTCCGGTAGAGCATCCCAAGTCACAGACCAGGAAGCCAAAAAGCTCAGGCAGGAAATATTGCAGCAAGAAATCCTCATACGTGGGTATCAGGTGCATTTTTGGTGACCATCGGCGCTCAAATTTTTAATTCACTTACTTCTGAGACGCTACTTTCCTAAGTCGGCTTTCTCCCTTCTCTAATTCTCACATGAGCAAGTATTGTTATGGTGCAAGTATGAGCACCTTTTATTGGACCGATTCACAGAGAAAGGAGCTATTTATTCACCAACGTTGAGAGACTACTGTGAATTCTGTCACGCAGCGCGAGAATGAGAAAGCCCTGCAGAAGATCAAGGAGGTCCAGGCAGAGGCCAAGGAAAAAGTACGCATTATGACTGAGGAGAACGTCAAACTGAAGAATGAGTTGGTACATTGTCAACACCGTTGTATGGCCGCTGGGCATCAAGCTGCAACGAAACTCTCTTTGCATGAAGCTATGGACCGGGAGTTGCAACTGAAGGAGATTTCAAGGTTGAAAGATGAGCTTGTTAAGGTATGTCTCAATACTAACTCGCACTAGAACTTTTGAGTCTGAGACAGTTCTTTTGCAGAAACTTTCTTGAACGAGTTAGGCAAACGAGTTCTTACTTATGAAAGAGATTTTTCGGGTTTCGCAACGATATTTCTTCATTTGTGCAAATACTTAAACTCTTAGGTGCTTTTGGTGTCTTACTCTAGACCCACGCAGCAGTACGAACGAAGGAACATAGTAATTGTTCGTTTTTCTTAACTATGTCAAATACTTAATTTGATCCATATTATCTTATGTTATTTAGATAAAAATCCTTCGTTCTCACCAAATGTGTTTGGATGTGAGAGGCGCACGCTGATTTGGAGCAAAGAGAAAAGAGGGTGTCTAAGACACTCGATGACCCAGAGGCTGAAATAGAAAAACTTAAAAATAGACTTGCAGAGGAGCGGGAGAGCCATGCACGCACCACTGCTTCAAGAGAGGGTATAACGAAGTCACTGGTGGAAAAGCAGCACCTTCTGACCTCCCTGCAGTCCACCCACGACCAGCAGGTATTTAAGTTTCATTTCGTATATTATCCTGTTCTATAAATGGATATGCTGAATCCAGTCCCCTGAGTTTCTCAATGTAATGACTTTTTAGGCAGTCCAAATTCTGGAGCTTAGCAGCAAGGTTGCACATTACGAAGGACAGGGAGGCCACCTTAACAAGATTGTCAAGCAGGATCGAGAAACCCTCTCTGAGGATAAGCGGAGTGCTTCAGTTGATGATCGATCATTAAGACGGGTACAGCCTTTGCTAAAGCAGGCAAAGTTCCTGAAGTCTTCAAAATTGGTTAAAGATGCATTGTTGTTAGGGATGCCGAATGATTAACTGTTGTTTCATCAACTTAAGAGCGGGTGCTATATTTGTACGAAGTTTTTTGAAGATGATATTTCTGACAAATTGAGTTCTGATAATCTCTGGTACCCATACTATGAATATAAATTTTCATTTCAAGTTTACGGGAGTACTTTGTAGTAATGCATCTGATTAGGAGCATACTTTGGTTTCATAGGCTAATATTCTCTTAGAGTGTGCCTCTTTGCAGGCAAAGAAGCCAGAAAGTGGTCTTAGCGTTGCAAATTTTGGTATATCCACTCTTGCTGTAACGAAGGATGAAAGTGAGAAGATTCGTAAGCTGCAGATGCAGATCGCAGTTTTAAAAAAGCAAAAGCACAAGGAGGATGAGAGCAACAAACGCCTCAACATTTTGAAAGACGAACTCGAGAAGTCAAAGCAAGAGTACGAGAAACGTTTGCAGCATTTGCAGGCCTTTCATCCAAACATAGAGCCTGACTTTGGAAATGATCAAGTTTCTCAAAGCCGGGTCAAGGCATTGGAATCTCAAGTATCATCAACAGTTCGCTTTTATTGTCTGATGCAAATTTTCATTTCTCTCCTTCATGTTTACCAACTGGTATATTTTAGTTCGTATGCATGTGCTTGTTCCTACACAGTTTATTCCTAATCGTAAGGTAGTTTGCACTTTGACGCATTTGCAGAGTTTATTGGCAGGTTCTTTTGGTTGTTTGATTTCGATTTTCTCTTATACTTCGCAACGAAGTGATAGCCCACAGCACCGTTTTATTAATATTGAAGCTGTGTTTATACGTTTATGAAGTTGATAGATGTTTCTGTCACAGGAATTTTGTTGTCGCTTAGAAAATATATTACCGCATGATGAATCCATCTAGAATGATCAGCTTTGTGAATTGTTCTCTGTCTGCAGTTCCATAACTGGTGTATTGCAGAGTTGTAAATGCGTTCACTTAATATCTTTTGTTTTTGTCACTTGTAAGTGGATCTCGAGGCCTTTGAACTTGAGATCCCCTCGTAACAGAAAATAGAAGTTGAAGATTATGATTATGAATTCACTTTGGTGTTTGCAATTTGGTGTTTGCCTTACTCTATTCTCAGGTTCAATAACACTTCTATGACTAGGTCGTAAACATTCGTATCCACAACGCACGGAAATTAAAAGAGTTGACCGACAAGCTGGCGGAGAGCAAAACTGAGCAGAACAAACTCAAGGTTGCACTGGAAAATGCCGCACATTTGAAGAACATTCCTCCCAATCGAACTGTTAAGGTGTGTGGTCTTTTTTACACCCACATGAATACGTCTGTAATTTAGAGTGTGATATTATGTGTCTCATGTTCCTCAAGAGGTAGAGTTGGTCGTGATGGAAATATACACTATCTACCCCTGCAAGGTCTTCCCTTTCGCTGTTATCCTTTTTCTATTTGTCCTAGTATCATTAAACTTAGCTAAGTGGCCCCTCATGTAGGCACTGAAGTCTCATGATGCTTTTAGGAAGTTAGATCTTTACCGAGCTAAAATGTGCTCGCGTGTATGCCGCAGAGGTTCAGGTGAAAGAGCTGAAGGATTTAAAGGAGCGAATATGTGTACTACAAGATGTGTTGGACCACAAAGACCACACCATCGAAAATCTCCAGCATAAGCTTGAACTCAGTCAAACTGAAGCCAATGATGCAGGTTAACAAGAGCTCAATAGTAATATAAGTAAAAGAATGTACTATGTCGGTTTATCTGTGCGAAGTTTTCCAAGTATCCGAAAATGAAGTGCAACCGCAGTGTGCAACCTTGAGCTGTTCTGCTTCAATGTAAACACAACGTGACAGATCTTTGTAAGATCGTTAACGATTCCTTCCCGGGTGTGACTTTCAGCAGCTCCAGGTTTTGGTCTTGGTGCTGCCAGTTCCACCACAATTAAACAGACCGCCATTCTTTCAAAGACCAAAAGTAAGTTCCAGTGTATTCCTCTAGGAGAACGTCCAATCCAACCTTCTTTGAAGGGTTGTAATTTTAAAGTCCTTTTGCAGACATATCTCAAGCCGATAGTGTGCTGCCTGAAAATCATGAAGTGAAAGTTGAGCTTGATGACCGAGAGATCTATATTTACTAACTACAGACCAGGCTTCACTAACTACCTCCGTGTGCCAGAGTTTGCAGAATGCTCGTACAGGAAGATCATCTCTAGGGGATTAGATCGGAGAAGCTACAGTGTCCCTCTTGAAAGAGAGAACCGACGGATTCCAACAAGGTAAGGTTGCTCCATTCACATGTTCAAACATCTGGCTACTTCTCCCTTCGCTCTGAAAAGTAAAAAATTCACAGCGACGAACTGAAGGTTCATCTGGAAATGGACGTAATTAGAATAATTGTGGTATGAAGTTCTACAGGTATATTTGCAGGGACCAGTTTAGATATATGGCCTTCAGAGTTGGATTATGTGCATTGTTGTCACATGAGCAAGAGCTTAAATGATCTGAAAGGGCGTGCATGGCAGGATCAAGAGACTGCCTGAGAAGTTAGAATCGACCCAGGCGCAGGTCCAAAAAGCCAATGCGGCTACCGCTACCCCATACTTACTCGTTTTGAATGGTAGAATTACTACGAAGTAGTTCAGTGCTGTGTGTTTCAGTAGTCCTCGGTGGCGGCCATTGATGAAGTCAGTCAATTAGAGACAGTATCTTTTAACTCCTTCAAAGCTCCTCAGTTAACCACTTGAATTTATGAGTTACCATCATAAAATTAACAGCTAAATTTTTAAAGGAATATAATGGACTCACTGTGTTTCAAGCCAGGAATTTGGGTTGCACAGGTGGAAGTCATTGCTGGGTGCCATCGCAATACGCACAAGCAGACGTCTGCAACAGCTAGTAAAGAGATTCATTGCAAAGGACACATATTCAGCGAAGGTAAAATTCATCATACAGCCTGAGACATTCAGTAGCCTCCGGAACCATCTTGTGTGTCGATCGATATGAGCCATGGAGCAGAAACAGTCTTTAGAATCACCTTGAGATGGGATCATGTCAAATCAGAACTATGCACCGCACAGTTTCCGTGTTTGGGAACACCCCGTGGTGCTACAGGTAAGAGGAGACATGCAATATGGCACCATGTGATTTAGCAGTGAGTTTCAGCTGGGTGCCAGATCTACTACCTTGCAAGAAACCAGGCCACGTCTTTGTTCATCCTTAATTCACAACTACTGATAATCAAAGCTCAACTACTTGGTGATTACGGAATTTTAGAGTAACTTCAGATGTTTTGTAACCATCATTTCAGTAAAATCCGGACTTCTGCTTTCTGCTTACGAGAACAGATTGAGGTTCATGGAGGTTCATCAAGCCCATCGTCCATATCTTTTCGAAGACATTTCTACATCCGAGCCAGTACTTTCCAGCACTTCTTACCTTGCTGACCACCAAATGAATTGCAGAGAGCCCGCGGAAGGGCAATAGGAGGTGGCTTTTCAATTGAGGACACGTAAAGATGATTGGTTCGAAGTGAAGGATTTCAACACCGACAAGGTCAAGATTCAAGCTGTTTGACCGACCTTCAGGACAACAATTCCTTGACTTTAATCACTGTGGTTGGTTTTAAAACTTGGTTGGAATTTTGGGGCATAGAATTTAGTCGCAAAGAATGTTTTTGTGTGCAAATACCAAAGGCTTGTAAGAATATATGAAGGTTTCAAACTAAAGAACTCTTTCACTGTCACAGTTAAGCCTTACTCCGAACAAATGACATGTCTCATTCCTTGAAGGTAACAGCTCCACAAATGGTAAACTCTATGAAGGCATCCAGAGATAAATAAGAACACAACCGGCTGACCTGTCGTTTTAAAGTATTCCTGATTCGTCATATAAATTATAAATGCACAATGTCTCTTCATATATGTTTGTTTAGAGATGAATCTGTAACTTGTTTAATTCATTTGTTAAGAAAGGATGAAACTTTCACTTACTTGACTATATTAGATGAACAACTCCACATAGTTGGAGCCTTAATCTTAATGGATGATGGGATGACAAAGGGATGATTATTGACAAAGCCTTAATAAATGTATACAACAACATCATCTTTGAAATTAGATCTAACACAAGTAGATAGTAGTTGCTTTTTTGGTCCTCCTTTATTTCATTTTATTTGTCTCATCATTGTGCCCTTATACGTGGATTCTTCCTAAAGTATATAATTGGATATCTTATTGGATCAAAATAAACTATAAACTTGTGAAAATAATATATGGCTTTAATATAGCCATGTAAGGTAGAGAACTCATTTTTAATAATTTAAGCATTTTAGCATATATTTAGTAGGTATAAAGATGGAAAAAAATATCTCTATATAAAAAATTAGAATCAAAAGGATTTCAAGTATTCTCACTTTATTTGATCCAAAAATAGAATTTATATAAATATTTTAGTTAAAAAATTTCTTCCATCTATTTTGGATATATAAACCTATCTAATTCCAATTGGTAGAAGGTTATATAACTGAAAATCTAACTCTTATAAAATTGTGATGTATTGTCAAGGACATGAATCTCAAAGAAAGAAAATCCTCAATACACTCTTATGTCACTGAAAGAGACTAGAAAGTCACTCAAAGATGATATAATATTAAATTAGAATGGCTATTGCCAAAAATAAGAAGAGTAGAAAGTCTTGAAACAAGACTAAGGACTAAAAAGGCATTGACAAGAGTGAAGAAGACTTCACTCTTGCTTCCATATATATTCTTAATTAGGAACTATATGGTAATATTTTATAAGACTTCTAAAACGTGTTGACTTTGCAAGACATGTATCTTAACTTACAAGGTAAGTTTTTATATGTGCACCACATAGTTAGGTTATTCCACAAGCTACCAATATGTAGTTAACTTATTGACCAAGTTTCTAACCTACCAATCAACTATAAACATATGTAAAATCAAAGCAGTGTCTATGAAGCCTTTAAGAAGCTTCTCTAAAAGGTATTATAAAATTCACCTACTTTTATCTACTTTTACATACTTCTATCTAATCATATAGATATTTATTAGAGTACTTATGTATATCCGTGACATTACTTCTCTTTTAGGCATGAGTTCTATAAGGAGCAGTCATCATATGTTGAAAAAATCTAAGATGTGAAAAATTATATTTACAACATATTCTAATCTTTGTATCACTGACATATATATTTACTTCAATAATTACTTATATGATTAAGTAGAAGTAGGCAAAATAAAATAATTTCATAAAGTCTTCTAGAAAAGCTTCCTAGAAGCTTTATAGACGTAGTTTTAACTTTAGATGTATTCGTAGGTTAGAAACTTGGCCAAAAAGCTAACCATATATTGGTAGCTTGTGGAACAAGTTACTTCCGTGTAGTAGCTTGTGGAACAAGCCAACTACATGGCATATACATAGATAACTTGCCTTGCAAGATAAGACATGTAGCTAGTAAAGTCAACACATGTTGGAGGTCCTATAGGACATTGCCACATGGCTCTTAATTAGATAGTATATATGGAGGCAAGAGTGAAGCCTTCTTCACTCTTGTCAACGCCTTTCTAGACTTGGTCTTATTTCAAGACTTTCTAATCTTCTTATTTTTGGCAATAGCCATTCTAGTTAATATTACATCAGCTTTTGAGTGACTTACTAGTTCTCTTCAGTGATAGAAGAGTGTATTGAGGATTCCTTTTCTTCAAGCTTCATGTCCTTTATAGTTTGACAAGAGTGCTAACATATTGTTTGTGACTTATTCTAGAAGTAAGTGGATTATTCCGCTTCTATTATTGAGTTTTAAAGGTTGCGGACTACCCACCTTTAAACAAAAAAATCTTGTTTTCTAACATTGAACTTTTCCTTAAAGAGAGTAGATTACCCCTCTTTGTGAGATTTGTTTTTAGAGGTTGTAGATTACCCTCCTCTAATTTAACTTTTGAATTTGTTTGAGTTGTCTATGGAAAGAAAGATTATGGATGCTACTCTCAATAGAAGTGAGAATAGATTTACAACTATAGCAAATCTTCATGAGCTTGTCAACACTCTAAAAATAGAAATCTCACGTATTTCTAATGTGAATCATAGAAGTACTATGCCTACGCATATGGAAGAAGTTTAGAATGTGCGACAAGAAGTTGTACAGTTGAAAGAAGTAAGTAGATCAACATCACAACCAAATCCAAGGAGTTTTGCTTTTACAAGTATGACAGGGACAAGGATTAGTATGTCTGAGAAGTTTAATGGAACAAGATCAAAATTTTGAAGATTTTTACAATAAGTCAAGCTCTATCTAAGGTTGCATCCTTTCTAATATCCTGATGGATTTATCCAAGTCGGATTTATAGGTGCACTACTATCAAGAAGTATTCTCTCTTGGTTTGCACTTTTCATGGAAAAAGATTCATGACTTCTTTATGATTTGAATTCATTTCTAGAAGTGTTTATGGCCACATTCAGAGAAAGTGATTGAGAACGAGTAGCAGAGACCAAGCTTCTATCTTTATGGTAAGGATCACAATCAGCCACTATATATGCTGCCAAATTCCAAAATCTTTCTTGTGATGTGGACTGGAACAACAAAGCACTTATCAACCAATTTTGATATGGATTGAAGGATAGCGTTAAAGATTTGTTATTAATAATGCCAAAAATAGAATCTTTGGAATGATTTATTGTTCAAGCCATTGCATGCGACAATCATTTATTTGAAAGGCATCAAGAACAAAGATTTAGTTGGAGAGGAACAAATCAAGTAATGGCGGTAGCTCTCAAGTTTTTTGAAATGTATTTGTAAAAGTTGAAACCAATGCAAATTGATATGATACATTTTAAACCTCTCACAAAGCAAGAAAAGACTCGACGTCACCAAGAGGGATTATATTTATATTATGGAAAAACTAAGCACACTGCTCAATATTATCCAAAAAAACAACACAATTACAAAATGAGGAGCACAATTACCAAAGAAGATAGTGTGTCGGAAAACGAGTTTTTTTGGCTACAATAGGGACTATGCAGCTAAAATCATGTACAACACCTAGTAAAGGTCCTATCCTCTCCTCAGATCCCTGACCTTGTTTTATAATAGAAGTATATTTAGGACCTAATAATCACAAAGTCTTTGCCTTGTTAGATTCAAGAGCCTTAGCATATTTTATAGACGAAGATTTTGCCAAAAATCAAAAAATACATTTAGTAAAGAAAGTTAAATCCGTACATATTTAACGTTGGATTTCTTGTAACCTTAACTTTATTGATAGTATAATCCAAGATCGCATTAGTAAAGTAGAAGTATGTAAGTTCAGTACATCCTAACCTTTACTAATAGGTGCAAAAGCTTTTATACATGCTACAAAAGAAGGATCATCTTTTGGTATATATGCTACACCCATTTCTAATGGTGATACGATATCGAGTGGTATTTCTAAGCAATATCAAGAATTCCAAGATATTTTTTAAAAGAAGAATGTAGATATTCTTCTCGAGCATCGACCTTATGATTGTTCAATTGATCTGCAAGAAGGAGCTCAACTATCATTTGGACCAATCTATAATTTATCGCAGAATGCATTGGTTGTATTAAAAGAGTACATTGATGAAAATTTGGCAAAAAATTTCATATGCCATTTTAAATCTCTAGCCGGGGCTCTTATCTTATTTGTGAAGAAGAAAGACGGATCTGTACAAATGTGTGTGGATTATCGAGGACTCAACAAGATCACCATCAAAAATAAGTATCCTTTGACTTTGATTTCAGGACTTCTTGATGAACTCAATCAAACAAAGATCTATACCAAAATAGATCTATGAGGAGCATACAACTTAGTTCATATCAAAGAAAGAGATGAATGGAAGACTTCTTTTCGAACTAGATATGGACATTTTGAATATAATGTCATGCCTTTTGGACTCACGAATGCACTAGCTACTTTTCAACATCTTATGAATGATATTTTTTGTGAGTTTTTAGATGATTTTGTTGTTTGCTATTTAGACAACATTCTAATCTACTCTAAGAACACAAAAGAATATGATCTTCATATTTATCGTATGTTATAGAAACTTAGAGATATATGATTATATGCCAAATTAAAAAAGTGTATATTCTACACTATTCAAGTTGACTTCTTAGGATACATCATTTCTAACAAAGGCCTTATGATGGATCCCAAGAAGGTTCAAACTATCATAGATTGGAAGATTCCAAGAACAGTACAAGATGTACAATGTTTTTTGGGCTTTGCTAATTACTATCAAATCTTCATTAAGAATTTTTCTCAAGTTGCAGCTCCACTTATACATTTGACTTGTAAAGACAAATTTGAGTAGAATAAAGAAACAAAAGCATCATTTGATGCTTTAAAGAAGGAATTTATTTCTGTACCAATTTTATATTCCGTTGGCTTCTCCAAGGTATTTTTTATGGAAATAGACATATCAGATTTTGCTATATGTGCCGTATTGTCAAAAATAGGAACGGATTACAAACTCCATCCAATAGCTTTTCATTCGAGGAAATTTTCAGTAGCCGAGATTAATTATAAGATCCATGACAAAGAGCTCCTTGCAATCATGGATTCATTTCAAGAATAGCATCATTATCTAGAAGGCACCTCAAGTCCAGTTACTGTGTATATAAACCATAAGAACCTCGAATACTTCATGTCAATATGTGTCTTGAATTGTTGTCAAGCCCATTGGAGCATGTCTTTTTTAGATTCAATTTC